ATTACAAGATCAGTTTGGGTGTCATTCTTCACTACTACTGGCAACTGAGCAAAGCGTTGCTTTGAAGGTAGGCTGTGCAGACAACTTGCCACCATAAGACCACCAGGTAAGGAAACCATGGTAGGCGGCTCCACTACCACCCATTTTTCAAAAAGTGGACCTTTCACCTGGACTAGTCCATCCAGAACAACAGTACACCCTGCCGGAACAACTTCTTGTTGATTCCCTTTCAACTTCACACATCCTACAGTTCCACTGGAAGCGTGCAATTTCCTCTTCTGCAGCACGTTTATCACAGCTTGGTAACCATAAGAAAGAGACTTGATAGCACCCGTGCCCCCTTCAGTGCAATTGGCATATAGCACGTCGAGCGAGTTGGTACCAATTAGAATCTGTGGTATGTTTGTCAGGTCTGGGACTATCAGAGCTAACGTCGGGACCTCAGCTTCGACTCCCAGGAAACTTTCTGGAAACTTCAAGTTGAGCTCGACATAACCCAAATAGGGTACAGCTTGTCCGTTGGCTCCCTCCACTTCAAGAAGATGCTCCAAGGATTTCATGGGGTGCTTACACAGGTATTTATCATAGTAGGACTTGGGAATGGTTGTCACCTGCGATCCAGTGTCCAGAAGGCAGTTCACTTCTCTCCCCTCTATTCGAATCCTGGTGGTGCACCTGGTCCCTACTAATCCGGTAGGTAATTCACGACATAGAGATTCATGTGCCTGCTGCTGCAACAGATATTCATTCTTCTTAGGGCATTGTTCTTGTCTTCCCGTCTCTGTTCGCCCTCCAACTGAGACGGATTTCAGTTTAACTGCACAGGATGAGAGAGGTTCTGCAGATCCCATTTGATTTGTCGCTCTCTTAACTCACGGCGCTTCTCTTCGACCTTGCGAGGGTTTGGGTCATTTCCGCAGTTAACAGCAAGGTGTCCATCCTCTCCACAATGGAAACAGTAACCAGGACGGGGTCTGCTGTGCGGTTGCCATGTGTGCCTTGAATTTCTATCCATCTCTGGTTCCATCGGCTTGGGTCGATACTTTTCAGGAAAAGTGCTCAAACCTGGAGACTCTCGATATTCCCTCTGCACTTTTGGGACAAGATGAGCTTGAAGTTCAGCTATCTTCTGCCTCAATTCAGAGAATTCCTCAACCGTAGGACTGATCTTTTCTTTACGAACTGGTTGTGGTTTCATCGCAGAGATCTGAGCTTGGAGTTTTGCAACCTCCTTCTTCAGGGTTTCGACTTCAGACTTTTCAGCTTTGCTTTTGGACTTGGCTGACTTCGGCTTTTCACTTGACTGGCCTGGCACCTCGTCAGTGGAATCTTCAGATACATCACTGCAGCACACAACCTGTTGATGGGTCGCTGTTCGTAACTTAACTGGAACTGTAGAATGTCTGGTTAGTCCGAGATGCTTCCTCATCCTTTCTTCTTTTAAAGTCTGTTTGTCCTCTGCAGTACGAATGAGAACTACCAGCTCAGCGAAAGAAGGGGATGTGACTCTTTTTCCTTCCAGCTGCAACTCAGTGATTAGGCTGTTGTCCCAGCAACCTCTGCAAAATTGCTTGAGAAGGCAACGGTTCCGTTCAGCTTCAGCAACACCACCTCGTCTGATTGCAACACTGAGCATTACATGAAGACGGTGAAGATAGGTGGAGGATTTTTCCCCTTGATTTTGCAAGGTGCCAATGAACTTTGCAAACAATTCATCTCCATCTTCCACTGAACCATACACAGACTCCAACAGTTCCAAACACTCTAGTGGTAGGGCATATGGGCCGATGTGCTTGACAACATCCGAGGCTGGAGGCAGTAGGCTGTCGAGAATCTTCCCAGTCTTGTGCAGTTCAGAGAGAGACTTGTCATTCAGTAGGAAATCCACACTTGTACGCCAGGTGTCGAAGTCTGGTTCATGGCTAGGGCGAGGGATTCTTCCTGAAAAAGATTTCAGTCGGAAAGTAGCATTCGAAGAGGACAAGGATTCACTGGTCTTTACCACATGCTCCATTACTACTCGTTGGATTCCTGGTGGACTCAGAGCACTAACAGGTAGATTCAAGGACATAGTCTCTGCAACGCTGGCGCCAGTACTCTGTATGTTATGAGAGGACTGTGCCAGGGTGCTCCCCTTGGCTGGGTTTTCAGGTTTTTGGGTTGGAACACTCAGTAGTGGTGAGATCCTTGGTGAGGACATTACTGTTGTTTCTACTTGCCCTTGTTGCACATTAGCAGATGGTTGGTATTCTTGATTCAAGTGTGGAGGGGTATTCGCATGCATACTGCTGTCATCTGCAGGCTGTTCAATTTCTTGCTCAAGTCTTGTGGATTCATTTTCTTGTGGAAACATCATTGCAGAGATCTTTTGCAGCTCACATTGAAGCACTTCCTGAACGGTTATTCCACTGTCTCTGGCGATGGCCTTCAGTTCTTCCAGATACCCCTCAGTAATGTTGTCACTCGTTGCAGAAGTATACACACTCCTCAAGCTGCGTACATGGAATACAACATTAGCATCTAGTGTGCTTCTGATAGTCAAGGGCAGTGAGGCTTCCAAATTGTGCATGGCAGACTCATGTGAGAATTCCACAATAGCACTGTTGTAATACTCTGACTTGGGATCGTCAATGATTAAATTGCGTTTGATGGATCCATATTTTAGCAGGCAGTCTTCTATCTCTGAATCTGGGTCAGAAAGGGTTAAACCACTTACAATGACTGCTCTCCGCACGTTAATGTCTTCACGTTTCACTACTTCCATTTTTGTCTGTTTTAACTGTTATTTTATGGAGCAAACTGGCTCAAATTGTTTTTTCTTCTTACTTTTCTCTTAAACTCTTTATTGTCTACTTGTGATTATTAAGTAGTTTTAGATGTACACTTTGCTATAATTTTGCTCCTGGCTGGCTCTGCCAAATTTTGTGTAACGAGTGGCACGGATTCTATATCTCACAAGTTCAGACTCAGAAGATTTCCGGATCGACTCACTGAAGCAAAACTAGCAAAAGTCAATATTATAATAAATTAAAATGAGTAAATCACTCAGACTACTGTAATGCAATCTGCTAAATAAAAGGTAAGTATATTTTCTCTTTGTTGGCAATTTGAATAATTATGGAAATGAAAATAAAACAAAGCAATTAAATGACAGAAAAATACAGTACTTCAATTGAATTACATATACCAGGAAACAATGAAAATTCTCAATGTCACTTTTCGAAATCTCAGCCTCAATATTTAAATTCCAAATTCAACAATTGTATTCTCAATTTCAAAAATAAGAAATAAGAATGTTCATCAAAATGGAAAAACAGTTCAGTCCATGAGGAGAAAAAAAACTCAAATTCTTGTCTTCAGGAAGATCCAGGTAAAGTGAAAAGTGAAAAAAAATACCATGTGTGTAGTTCTGTCCTACCCACTCTGAAACTTTGTTTCTCACACTCTTTTACAGGTTTCCAGGGACGAAATGATGGGATGGCTCGCCAGTCCAACCAGGAATAGAAAATCCACAGCAGGACAGAAATCAGAATCTCGGCAGCAATTCAGGAACTCTCAACAGAGAATTTACAGGAAAAATATACCAAAACAAAAAAACCCGGCCAAGGAGAAATATAGATCACAGAACAAAAAAACAAATTTCCAAAGGAAAGATTAGAAAATTTCTCCTATCTCTTCAGTATGGGTTCAGCACGACGCGGTGAGTTTTCACAAAGCAGTTTCTCACGTGCGAGCTCTCTAAAGAACTAAAGCCTCATAAATCTACTGTGCTTCTTTATAATTTATCGCAAAATTATCACTGTTCCTTCTTTCTTAACTCATTCAATCGATTTAATATCACTTTCGTGTCGTTCAGAATCTCTTGCAATCTTTCATCTCTGGTCTCGTCTCAGCTTGATAACCGATAGATCTGGAAATTATTTTCTCAACGGTGGGCGGAGTTAACCCTTCACCTACCAATCGGAAATTCACTCAAAAACGTTTTTTTTATCCTTTAATTATTTATAATGAAATAAATACATTTTATTTATAATTTTTCACTCACTATTAGTTTCATATCGATATGAATAAACCAATACTAATTATAAACACTAGTGACCCAAATTAATGTACTGGGTTACACAAGTAAAGCAACAAGCAAGATCCCATCAATGAGAATATCATGCAAAACAAAAACAAAACACAAGAGGGTGAATAGTGTAGTCAGATTTACAGAAAATAGATTAGTTTGGGCAGTCAAGGGTTAAACTGTTCTGCATCTATACAACCTCACCGAGAGGTCAGTCTCTGCTTTAGTCCTTACTGCTCACACTGTTGTTACATATCATGGCAAAAAAATTGAAGTTTCAACCACCGTCGCTTAGCCAAACCAATATTTATCTACGCATATCTAAAAAGAAGTATTAAAATATGATTGCCAGTATCCAAAAGAAAACAAAGAGAGCACAGCTTGTTCAGATCTACTCTTTACACCCCCTGACAGAAGCCTGAGAAATGTGAATCTTGGACTCTCCAGGATTTAAAGACTTATACGCTTGTTTGTAGACAATATCTTCACGTAAGACTGCTGATCAGTTTTCAGGTTCTCTTTGTTTCTGTCTACCAAAATCCACATCCAAAAACGATCCCAAATAATGATAACAGTGCAGAGGTGTTTTGAATTCTTTTCTTGATCTTGATATGGCTTAAACTTTATTGCTGAGGTCTGATCAGAGCCCTGAGGAATGATTGTAGTTTGAATCCTGTTAATAGTGACACCGACCAAAGCATTTACAGAACGCAGGCCTCCCATCATTGTACTGGCAGCACATTTGAGATATGCCGTCTGACATTTAACATGAATGAGCTCTGCTCTCTGTTCCAGTAAGATGAGATGAAAGTACAATTAATTTGCTTCATAGAGCCAAAGCAAACATGAAGAGCAAGAGAAAGGTGGAGAGGAAAGCTGGGGAGGAGAGAGAAAAATGACTGTAGAGGATCGTATAAAGTAAAGGATTTACCGTATTGCCATTTTCAAGCCAAGTTATTGATGGGATTGGGTTGCCAGTGGCATTACACTCTAATGTAACCTCTGATCCGATCTGAACTTTCTTCTCCTTGGGAACTTTCAGAATCTTGGCAGGAGCTATGGGAGAGACAATGACAAATTAGAAAACAGAAAATATTTTAAAAAGCTTAAAACACATATCAAGTTCTTAGAAACGTACCCTTTGTATAGATGTTGGTTTCATACAATAAAAATAAAAATTTTCTTGTAAAATATACTACAATAATCAATAATCTATAATAATAATAATAAAAAAATGCGATGTGGTACAGAATAGGCATCAACTTAAATATAATAAAAATATTAGCACATTGTAAAAAGATACCATCATTTAAAAAAAAAAGTTTTAAGATATTTTTTTTATTAATTTAAAAAAATATTTTGTACGAACATCATGAATTATTAACAAAAAAAATAAAATAATTGAGTTTTGGGGAGTCACAACATATGAACTAACTTTGACTTGTCATGAAAAAAGTCGAATTGTGTCAAAGGTTCTAAAAGACTATTAACTGTTGATTGCACCACTGCAAGTATGTTCTTTTCTTTCCACAATTACATTAGAAAATTTAAAAAATTTCTAATATTAATAAGCAGTGAAGCTGAAAATACTATTTTTCAAACAAGTAATAATATATTACATCAAACTACTTTTTTGCTAAAGTTATAATTTTTTAATGAGGTGATTTTATTTTATTTTGATATCAAGACAGCTGTCTCACCCTGCCATTTTTTCACTTTATGCCTTCTGAAAATTAAAGAATTAATTTGAATACATAAATTAAAATATGCTCTTCATGAAAGAGCTGTTTTAAAGACACTGATTGTACATTTTAATGCATTTTTGAGAAGAAAAAAAATAATAATAGAGAGGAATAACTATAATAAATAAGAATATATTAATAAAAATAGATTAGAAAGCCAGCATTATGCCATTGACCTACAAACATAAAGTGACCCAAAAAGTACACTTGGACACTTAAGTCATTCTTAATTTGTCTGAATGTTATTGCATTAGAAAACCTGAATATTGCAATAATACTTGAATGAGGAACAAAGCTATTTTATGACATACCCTGTACTTCAATAGTGACTGGTTTGGAGTAAGCGATTCCAAAACTGTTTCTGGCCACACAGCGATACTGCCCAGCGTCCTCTTTCTTGATGTTGTTAATTTTTAGGGAGCCAGATTCCAAAACTGATATACGACTATTAACCTACAAGACACATGAATGACGGAGATGTTCAGAAAACACACAATGATTGAAAACCATATACGGACCCAATAAATAAATACCGAGAAGATAATTGCATGTTAAGAAGTAAGACAAGTCGTTCCATTTACCTTAATCAAATCATCTTCTTTAATCCAGGATATTTCTGGTTTGGGATATCCTAATGTTAAACATGGCAACACTGCTTTGGACTCCACAACCAATGTCATGTTCGTAGGATGTCTTTTGATTTGGGGCTCTGAAAAAAATTATAAAAGTTCATGGGACTGATCCTCATACTTAACTCAAAGCACTGCACAAAAAGCAACAGATAAAATCTTAATTTGGATATTCTATTTTAATTTTAAAATTCAAACATGTCCACCTAAAACGTGGATTATTCCCAAATCAAGCATTGAATAAGCAGTGCTCTAAGTATGAGTTATGAGAGTATTTGAACATACTCATCTTCAGCTGTAAAGCTCCACAGCTCTTGGCTGGTTCTCCAACTCCATTGTTAGCAATGCAGCAGTATTCTCCATTGTCCAGATCCTTCACGTTGGGAATGATCAGCATTTGGCCATTTTCTCGAATAATGTATCTGGAATCGTAATACCTGCATTCAAAAAGTAAGTGTTGAACATACTTCACAAAACATTGGTGTGGAACTTTGCCAAGGTCTCTTCTGAAACCTCAACCAGTTTGTTTTGGAGAATTCTTGTTTTAACTTTACGGATGGCACAGGATAATAATCAAATTCATGAAGGAAGTTCTAACCGTATTGGGTAATTATTCCGTGTCCATGAAATATCGGCTTGAGGGTATGAATCAACCTCACAGATGAAAGTAGCATTATGATCCAGAGAGGCATCCACTGTCTCAACCAATGTTGTGATTCTGGGTGCTGAAATAGAGAACGAAAGATACATTTCCAATCAATCATATTGATTGCCAATATAAATCATAATGAAATGTTAAATTACTGTATACAAAGTGGTTACAATTGTGTAACAATTACATTACCATTAATTAACAACATGCACTCACTATAGGGTTAGGTTTATGATAAATTTTGTGTAATTGTTCATAATACTATTGTAAGAACATGTAACAATTGTTTGTGTTTATTGTGTGTTTTTATTCATCCTTCAGTAATCGTGTTATGAAAATAGGACAGGCTTACAAGACATGCTTTTTTTTATAATTTGACCCTAAATAATAATAAATCAGACATTGTAACTGTTGTGAAACTACCTTTTCACAACGAAATATTTGACATTCTGAACACTGCTCTGCACACCGCACGCACACAGCGGACCTCAGAGAGGCTTCTGATGGAAATAACTGTGAGAAAGTAGTGCTGATGTTATCCTACGAATAAATCCAACTGATAAGAATCACATCCCTTCAGTGACTGAGGGCAGAGTGGAGTTTAGGTCTCGGTACACTAACAAAAACGTTTTTAAAGGTAACATTGTAATTATATTGTTTTTGTTTTTGTGTGTGTGTGTGTGTGGGGGGGGGGGTATTCTGTGATGTGTACCATAATAAAAAAATCTTTGTATGTGTGTCATGGTAATACCATGTTCCAATACCATGCTCAACGCTGCGACAGATTGACTCTATGGGAACGCTCATAGACAGTATAAGAAGTGGACAGAGCCATCTCACTGGAACTCAGTTGAGACAGTTGAAGCCCATTTTTAGCGATTTTTGAGCACTTCCGTTCCTGACGCGCAGACTCAAACCGACTCAAACTAAGCTTGATGACGTGAGCAACCTGTCTGACAGACGTTAATCTTCTAGTAGCTGTGCGTGAAAATTGCCAACGTTAATCTTGCAGAGACGGGGAACTTGAGCAAAGAGTTCGGTAACACTTTACTTGAAGGGGTGTGCATAAGACTAACATGACACCTTCATAATCATGACATGACACATGTTATGAATATGAAGGAAGTTTTATGCATGTTTGTGACAACTGTCTTTAAGTGTCATTCGCTCAATAATGACATTTTTAATGCAAATATGACATTGTTTGAGATGTCTTTGGTATGACACCTTGACATAAACAAATACATCATAACCTGTCAGTGTCTTTGTCATGACAACTTGACATTACTAAGACAACACAACCTGTCATAAACATGACATAGCAGATTAATTATCAAACTCAAGAAACCACTTAGCTGTATTGGTTAACATTACATTAAACTGTCAGGTGGTTGGTTTTGACATTGGCTGTCATGAAGCCATTATAACTGTTTAATGACAAATTCAATTTGTACCACTGTAGTTGAGGTCACGAAAAATATTCATGACACAGTTATAATGGCCTAATGACAGTCAATGTCAAAACAAACCACATGACAGTTTAACTTAATTTAATGTCAAGTTGTCATGACAAAGACACTGACAGGTTATGATGTTATGGTTCATGTCAAGGTGTCATAACAAAGACATCTTAAACAATGTCATATTTGCATTCAAATTGTCATTATTGAGCGAAAGACACTTAATGACAGTTGTCATAAACATGCATAAACCCTACTTCATATTCATGACATATGTCATGTCATGGTTATGAAGGTGTCATGTCAGTCTTATGTACACCCCTTCAAGTAAAGTGTTACCAAGAGTTCTTTGGCGTGAGTGAGCAGGAGTAAGTATTCTGTTGCTTTTATGGACTCATTATCTATGGGCTTCTCCCTTGTCGGGACGTCCCCTCGATTGCCTGCAAACTCCTCCTGTCTGTATGGTCATTTCTGTACAGCGCGACAGAGAGTCGAGTGGTTATGACGCAATCGTTAGCCTATTTTTACAAATACTGTTTCTACGGGGCCATAATGTAACATAGAAGGTAATGGAGCCCTTTATACATTGTCGTGTTTCTTTAGAAATAAATAATGGACAAATGGAGTCTTTAAACGCCTCAGATGTAAAGTTATTCGCTGTCAAAGTGACGCCAAAATGAATGGGAGTCAATGGAAATGCTAACGCAAGTGAAGTTCTGCTACAAGATGGCGGCACCCGGCCGGCTTCAACTTCCAGTCGATGGATTACCCCCTTGGGAACGCTACTGTGTGAGCCAGTGTCTGAAGCATTTGCATCAATGAAATTTGAAGTAGTCAGGTGACAACATGTAAGTGAGTCAAGTAAGAATATAAATAGACGCACGGACATATATCATCAGCTTCTTTGTCTTCAGTAAGCCGCTTTTTTGACGTGCGAGTCATTGTTTGTCTTCGATTCCATCGGTTGGGAGTTATTATGGCAAGCAAACAATTTAAAAGATGTGTGTCTCTCCGTGCACACGCTTTCTACCAGAGGACGATACACATGATTTGGGCGTCCTTTGTTTGGGAGCAGAGCACATGCGGTCGAGTCTTGAGAGAGGGAGCTACCCGCATTGTGAGCATTTCACGCCAAAAAAGCTCCACTTCGGCCAGGCTCTCTTAAAGGGATAGTTCACCCAAAAATGAAAATTCTTTCATTAATTACTCATCCTCATGTCGTTCCAAACCATTAAGACCTTCATTCATCTTCTGAATTTTTTAAAATATATATTTTTGATGAAATCCGAGAGTTTCTGACTTGACATTCAGCTCCATGTGTCATCATCTGCCCATCTGGGCAAGATCCTCTGAAGTCCTCGTGCATCTCCTCTTAGGAGGACTGATGGTTGAGCAGGCAGTTGAGAGAGATAAGTTGTTTTCTCCTGCCCATGGAGTTTCATTTTGTATTTGTTACCCTAGTGTAGGTTGCGTTTATCGTCTGCGAGACGGGGTGTGACTTGTATAGTCCTCTGCTGCCCAATATAAGGCCGAAGGTGCAACCCATTTCCCGGAAGGTGCAAAGGGAACGAGACACTGCATCACTCTGCCATACTGCACACACACCTGGGCGTCTTCCTTCAGACCATTAGAAACTGATAACATACATTTGTGCAACTATTTCTATAATAATCTCGCTTACTCGCTTATAGGTCGTCGCCTGACTACTTCAAAGCCCAATTTCATTGGGGCTTTGGCACACATGCTTCAGATTTTCAAGACTTAGTTTTGTCTTGTTTTAAAATACAAATATTTAAACATTATTAGTCATGATACATTAACTTAAGGAGCAAAATGACATAAGCTATTAAGTCTGGTTTAAAAAAAAAAATCTAAATCAATTTTATTTTATTATTTTTTTAAGCACTATTGTTTTTTTCTTACCCCACTCAGTAAACACAACAACAAGCCAAGTATACTTAGTTACTTAGAATACTTAATTATACTTTTAAGTATATCTTGACCAAAAGATTGAGTACAAGTACTGTGTAGGTCAAATATATTAGACTTATGTCAGTTTAAGTCAAGCATACAAGTGTAATTTTAAGTATATTTATGTGAAGTACATTTATATATAAGTATATTTTCTCATTTTTGGTTTAAAAGAAGTATAATAATAGCACATTTTTTTGTTACATTTTTTGTAATGGGGCTTTTGAGAGTAATTCTGATTATAAACATGCTCATAGTGAATTTAATATGTAAAATATTAACACAATTAAATAGAATTAAAACTTACATGTGTGTGCTTAACATGTATGTTTAAGTTCACAAGTACTACGTTTTCAGCTTAGCATCATGCTAACTAACACCAGACTGTTGAAATGAGTTGTGTCAAGTCTCTTCGTGAGCACATGGATTTGTGGCCTATGTAGGGTAGTATGTAGTCACTAATAAGGGTCCATTTTATTTCATGCTGCCTATTTATGCAACTAGACAGCTCGGGTTTTGGAACAGAACCAATGATTGTGTATATGTATTACATGAATTTTAGGTTCACAAAGTAATATTTAGTCTAATTTTAATTACAGCAAGACCAGTCCTTTACTTTTATTCTTGTTAAAGCCATTTTACGTAAACTTAAACTGTATGCCTCTGGATATCACAGTTCTAGTTCTGAAATGTTTACTCTTAATGTAACATAATATTTGTTTTAAGAGTCATTAAAACAGCATTAAACATTCACTATAAAATCTGTGGTCAGTTTATTGTACTTCCTTGTCTGTCTTGTAATAAATGTTTTAGCTGGAGTTTTATTGTTTAGTCTGGCACTGTTACGTCAGGACACATCAACTCCAGGAACTTCTCGTCTTCTCATTTCTTTTGCAATCACACTTGATTTTTTTCCCTTCTTTTCTTCAAAGGGAAAAACGACAAGATAAATAGGAATAGCTTAACCCGCCAGAATTTTCCGGGGAAAAAACAAAACAAACAAATCTGTATTTGCTTTCCAAATCTCCCCTTTCAAGGTCATAAGCTCAGATTCAGAAACTGGACCAAAATGGATGCACTATACTGTGCTCACTAATGTAATTATCACAGGTCCACATGTCACATATATGACGCTTGTGCTAATTTCAGATTTGTTATATTATTAGAGAGCGAACAATGTGCTAACTTCCCCTCTCTCTTTCTCTCTTTGGGCGCAATATGAACGGCATGTATTGCATGGCGTGTCTTTGTTCCCATTGTATTTATCTGTTGTTTCAGATGGAGTTAAACTGTGAATCAATCAATTAAGCTACTTGATTATGATCTTAATGTTCTTAATATAATCACTGAGTAAATTGTGAATTGTTACACTGATGAAGGCAGAACAGCTGAAATGTTTGTCTTTGTCTCCTGTTTTAAGTCAATAAATTACGTTTTATTATTATTTAGTGCAGACCTTTTGTATTGTCTGACTGGAAAACTGGTCTCAGCGTCTAATTAGCTGGGAGAGTGTGGTGAGTGTTTTGAATAATTTTGAGTATTATTTATATAGTATTATAATATTTATTCATATTTTAATTAGCTTTTATGTTTTATTTTCAGTTTAGTTTAAGTTTTAGTAATTGTAGTACTTCAATTTAAA